TATCAATATTATCATTAAACCTGCAAGTGGGAATTATTTCTGCCTCTGAATCTCTGCTCCACAAAGACCACTCCAACTGCACCGCTGTAATTGGATGAACAGCATGCGCTCTTCTTATTGTTGAAGCTGAGGCTTCAGATAGACCTATATATTTTATCTTACCTTCTTCCACAAGTTTCTTTAGTTCTCCCATCTTGAATGAGGAGACACCCAAAGCATTAAGGAGATGCACAAGTCTGGAATTAAATCAAAAGTATAGAAGGACGCATCCACAACCAAATATGCACAAATGTATCAAGTATCGTGTTGCCGCTTTTACGACAAACTTGTTTTCTTATCCACGGTCACATGGTTCTAAGGGAAAATTTTCTCACAGCTAAATAAAAACAGATGGAAACTTATAGAAAATTTTCCTCCATTGATCTTTTTGATCTCTACTACCATTACAGATGAAAAACTTCTCTTGAATCACCTCATTGAATGGAACACAAAATTAGAATCTAAAATCCAGAGCGTCACTGTGTCACAAATGTAGTTGATAAAAAAGAACTGATTTCAGAAGCACCAATCGACTTACCAATTTGTAAACACCACTTTGATTGGGGGAAGAGACTAATACACTAGCTCATTCGAATAGTTTGCAAATGTTTCGTGTTAATTTACAAATGAGGTAACTAACGTGATGAAGTGGTGCAAAATGATTTATGTCATTGCCCCAAGTCTATTGAAAGTAGACATATAATTGTTGTATTATTGTTTATCACATTAAAATATAATTGGAACACGTTTGCATTTCATTGTGACTTAGCCTTCACTCAAAGCAAATCAGTATAATAGCATATATATATTAGGACACGATCAAAAACCAGGAACTACTAAGACATTTATTTCATATAAGGCAACTGCAAGTTTAAACTGATGTTAGATTCCTTTTGATCTCTTTTAGCCTTTGTTTGGCTCATGTTTATTAACCATCTATAGACACTCAAGCCACCTTTTATCCATACATTTCGAGGTACCCACAAGTAATACCCATTTTCCCACCACTCATTTCCGTTTATAAACACTTCCCACACATGCTCTTTACAAATTATCGGTCAACCTATTATTTCAATTTTTGGTTCTTAGGTTACTTCAAACAAATCATGATATGAGCTCAAGGATCATCGCTAAGTTAAAGCTCGGTTGGGATGGTACATAGTCACAACCCAAGCTATAACACATTTTTAGAGTTTATTGGTTTATCAAGATCAACTTAAACTTGGCTGAGTAAGCTAATCAACGATAAATATATGAAAACCCACCAAACAAGTTGAGTCCTACTCGCAGGGACGGATCCCCCACAACTAATTTTTTTTTAGTCAGAAAAAAAAANCAATTTCACTAAAGATCATGTAAAAATTTATACTACATTTTGGCTCAAAATATAAAAATATCAATATTATCATTAAACCTGCAAGTGGGAATTATTTCTGCCTCTGAATCTCTACTCCACAAAGACCACTCCAACTGCACCGCTGTAATTGGATGAACAGCATGCGCTCTTCTGATTGTTGAAGCTGAGGCTTCAGATAAACCTATATATTTTATCTTACCTTCTTCCACCAGTTTCTTTAGTTCTCCCATCTTGCATGAGGAGACACCCAAAGCATTAAGGAGATGCACAAGTCTGGAATTAAATCAAAAGTATAGAAGGACGCATCCACAACCAAATATGCACAAATGTATCAAGTATCGTGTTGCCGCTTTTACTACAAACTTGTTTTCTTATCCACGGTCACATGGTTCTAAGGGAAAATTTTCTCACAGCTAAATAAAAACAGATGGAAACTAATAGAAAATTTTCCTCCATTGATCTTTTTGATCTCTACTACCATTACAGATGAAAAACTTCTCTTGAATCACCTCATTGAATGGAACACAAAATTAGAATCTAAAACCTAGAGCGTCACCGTGTCACAAATGTAGTTGATAAAAAAGAACTGATTTCAGAAGCACCAATCGACATACCAATTTGTAAACACCACTTTGATTGGGGGAAGAGACTAATACACTAGCTCATTCGAATAGTTTGCAAATCTTTCGTGTTAATTTACAAATGAGGTAACTAACGTGATGAAGTGGTGAAAAATGATTTATGTCATAGCCCCAAGTCTATTGAAAATAGACAGATTATTGTTGTATTATTGTTTATCACATTAAAATATAAATGGAACACGTTTGCATTCCATTGTGACTTAGGCTTCACTCAAAACAAATCAGTATAATAACATATATATATTAGGACATGATAAAAAACCAGGAACTACTAAGACATTTATTTCATATAAGGCAACTGCAAGTTTAAACTTATGTTAAATTCCTTTTGATCTCTTTTAGCCTTTGTTTGGCTCATGTTTATTAACAGTCTATAGACACTCAAGCCACCTTTTATCCATACATTTCGAGGTACCCACAAGTAATACACATTTTCCCACCACTCATTTCTGTTTATAAACACTTCTCACACACGCTCTTTACAAATTATCAGTCAACCTATTATTTTAATTTTTGGTTCTTAGGTTACTTCAAACAACTCATGATATGAGCTCAAGGATCATCGCTAAGTTGAAGCTCGGTTGGGAATGGTACATAGTCACAACCCAAGCTATAACACACTTTTAGAGTTTATTGGTTTATCAAGATCAACTTAAACTTGGCTGAGTAAGCTAATCAACGATAAATATATGAAAAACCACCAAACAAGTTGAGTCCTACTCGTGACTGGTTAGATAAATGCTAGTTTGACATGAGGCTCACTAAGATATCAAGTGAAGCTCAAGCTCGGTTTAAACTTTATTGAGACATTAACCAAAAGCTTGAACAATCTATCTTTCGGTTTTGATTGTGTTTCCTTACATCGAAATTCAAGAACAATTCGTTCGTCGCTAAGAGTTTAAAAAAAAAAAAAAGGAAAAAAAAATTGAATTATGAGATAAATAAACACAAGCAAGGGAGAATAAAGCTCTAACCGTGACTTCGATAGGCAAACGTGTATCTACACGATGTTGATAATAAAGATCAATGCAATCAAAATCAAGCCGCTTCAAGCTGGCCTCACAGGCAGCCCGAACATAGGCAGGGTCTCCATGTATACCCATTTGCCCATCCGAAAATCGAAGCCCAAATTTCGTAGCCAACTCTGCTTTCTCCCTCATCCCATCCTTCAAAGCCTATGCTTAGACAAATTTTGAAGATAGCAATCAATTATAAACACTAAACTTTCATATATTAAACAATTGCACCTGCAAGAACTGAAAAATAATAAATAAACAAGACAGAAACATTACTTGGATATCAGTTTCTTCCATCAATGTTATTATGTTAATAATCAATTAAAAACGAAATTAAAATGCCACAGAAGCTCCATCTTCGGCGTCTACGTGCAAATTTTAACGCATAATGTACAACACTCAGAGAGTTGGGTTTAACCTTGCCGAGAAGGATCTCATTGGTGAATGGTCCATAGACGTCGGAACTATCAAAGAAGGTAATTCCCGCATTGATGGCATGGTGAATGAGCTTGATCATCTCGTTCTCGGGCTTCGGCGGCCCGTAGAATGCCGACATGCCCATGCATCCCAATCCCTGCGCAGAAACTTCCAGTCCCTGTGAACCCAGCTTGATTCTGGGCACTTTTATACTACTTTCTCCCGCCATAGCTCTTCGATCTCTGTTTCTGTTTATGAAAATAGCTGTAGATGATATATGGAACAACACACTATAAAACGTACCAAGTACAATGAAGAGATATGGGGTTTAGCCATTAATTTCTATCCTCAACTTGGTGGATCTTCTTTGTCCAGTGAACTGTTACATTGCAGAGTGGGCCTCCTAAGGCTAATTCCCTCGCTACACACGCGACAATATAAAAATCTAATTAAAATCAATTTTTTGGTAGATTTTAATAAAATATATGACTAAAAAATTGTTAAAATACGTGACTAAAAGATTGTGAATCCCACCAAATATGTAATTAAAATTAATTATTTAATTTGACCTAGATTAAAATCTAGATCTTAATCCCCACAAAAGGCGAGTGATTTTTTTCTATTAACTTCATGTTTAGGTTAATTACACAAATAGGACCATTGAAAAATTACACCACCACTGGAGTGAGTTAAAATTAAATGTAAATGGGTGCTCAAAAGGGAAATTTGGGCTTTCGACTATGAAGCTGAGCTACGTGCGATACTTTGGGGGCATTCGACTTTTTGCTTGCGATCGAGACTATGATGTGTTTGGGTCGACTTTGACTCGTAGTACATTTACAAGCACGAGGGGAGAACCCTTGAATGCACATAATGTTTTTAGATCAGATTTTATGACATACATATTATCGTTTAAATTTTATTTAAAGCTCTCTGCTTCAATAAGGTAATATTAGCACACACAAATATAAGTCTTCATGCAGTTGCTTTCCAAGTTGACAGAGGAGGAGTGTCTGAAGTTTCCCATGTTTTCATAGCAGGCGTAGATCTATTTCCCTTGACAGCTAAAGCAATCAATTCAAGCTCAGCCATGTCTTCTTCTGTCAGTTTCACAAACAATGCTCCGATGTTTTCATTAAGATTCACGAGTTTAGTGGTACCAGGTATTGGACAAACATCATTTCCTTGATGTACCCAGGCCAAAGCTAGCTGTGAAGGGGTGCATCCCTTTCTATTTGCCATATCATTCACCCTCTCAAACAAGCTCTTATTGTGCTCCAGATTATCTGGTTGGAATCTTGGTAGCTCCTGCAAAACGTAGAGCACACCTTTTAAAGTTGAAGCTATGAGTGCATGAGTAATAAGAGTTTGAGCATATATATCAGTGCTACTGTTGATCATTAATTAGACTGTAAAGAAAATTTTTAGCAGCAAGAAGAATTTGACCTCAAGGCACGGCTCAAGACTATCGTGCACACTTCAAGGGGTGAGATTTGTAAAATGGTCATTAGAGTAGCAAGTTTAAGACTTGGACTTTGTTTAGCACAACTTTTCCATTGACATAAACTAAACATCCTTGTTGCCAAACATAATTTTGGCACCCCAGCTGTTTCCAGAAGCTTAGTTGAACCTGTCAATTCTCTTATTCTAAGGACAATCTCATATAGGATACTAGAGAAGAGGAACTCTTCTCTTGAAATATAAATTAAGAAAAAGAAAACAAATTACTTAGATGGTTTTGGTGAGTGTAATCTAAAAGTATTGCTGTCCTTACCAATGCAACAATTACATGCTCAAAACCTTAAGCTTCTAGTTAGCCACAACCCAAGATTCATAATCCAAAGATTCTTAGCTATGATTCTATCATAAATCGAGTAAAGTAGATGGTGTGTACACCAGTGACATAATAATTTATAGATAAAATTGAAACTCAGGAGGGATCGAAGTACAAAATAAACCTTTCGTCTGTCCCCTTCACTGAAAGTTTCAACCAGTTTTGGACCAGAGGAGAAGAATCCCCGTCCAAGAGGACTATATGCTACTATCCCAATGCCAAGTTCTCTAAACATTTAAACAGGATATAAAGAGTTAGAAATTTATATTGTTTATTGTCCCAGAATATAAAATTTTTTGTCCAAATAATCGTGAAACCTGCAAGTGGGAATTATTTCTACCTCCACGCCCCTGGACCACAAAGACCATTCCAACTGCACAGCTGTTACTGGATGAACAGCATGTGCTCTTCTGATTGTTGAAGCTGAGGCCTCTGACAGACCTATATATTTTACTTTGCCTTCCTCCACCAGCTTCTTTACTTCTCCCATCTCGCATAAAGAGAGATCCAAAATAGTAAGGAGAAGCTTAAGTAAGAAACATGAGGAATCAAGTAAGAATACAAAGGAGACGTGCATTTATGAAATAGGCAAGGTATGCTCGAGAAGCTACTTTATTGTTGTGTCATTAATGAATATCCCCAATGCACATTTTCAAGATTTATAAACTCTTTGAATCCTGAAATCAAGCATTAGCTGTGTTTATGTTCACCTGAGTCATAATACAAGGTTAACGAGGCATGAAAATTGAAAAGTACCTCCTTTCTTATCTTCTGAGGCATGGACCTTGTGTGTTGGTCAATTCTCAATAGTCTCACCCCACTCATTCACTAAGTCTAGTAGTCTGTCTCATCTTCCTAGAATAACGAATAGCACAAACCCTCATAGAACTGTTGAGACTAACAAGGTTCAAGGTAATGTTTCTTTTTTGCCCATCTCGTCTCCATCTGTTTCCCAAATAGTGAGTCAATGTTGCGATTCAAGTCCAGGTAGATGATGAGATTCTTGTTATTAATTCTATAGAATATTCTGAATGTGAGGAAGAGTGTTTTGAGGCTAGTGTTGACTATTGAGTCCTTTATCGAAGTTACCTCTTCACTAAACAAGTTTAGAAGGTCATATGTGAGGAATAAACTATAAGCTGACGCCTGTAATGGACATTCCAGAGGCCATAGACTCTGTACAGAGATCAATTTTGCCTTACTCCCAAATTTAGAATGAATCCTACTATTTAGCGTGACTTTAGCATTATATCCGCACAATTTAATCCACATTACAAAACTACATATGTTTATTGTGTTGCTTCATTGCTTTTCAAGGGAGGTGTTTACTTGCCTTGCATGGTTTCCCTATTGATCTTCCACTATTTCTTGACTTCTACAGTGTTTAAGGTTCATCAATTTATCATGATTAACTCAAGTTTGATTCAATAAACTAATAAATAGTAAATATGAAAAGACACCAGAAAACTAGAGTTCAGCGTAATGAGCTCATAATCAGCGGGATAAATGATCGTTCATCATATGCTCATTATTAAATCACACGAAGCTTAAGCTCCATTTTAAATTTATTAAGAAATCAATCCAAGCTTCAATAAACCAATCTTATCACTCAGTTCATTGTTACGCATGTTGAGAGCCCATAACATATCAATAACAAGAGCTAATTGCTATCAAAGTTTGTATATCTAAATTACGAGTTACTTAAAGGGAAATAAAGGGGAATAGAGGGCTAACTGTGACTTCAATAGGCACGCGCGTATCGGTGCGATGTTGGTAATAAAGATCAATGCAATCAATATCCAGACGCTTCAAGCTGGCCTCACAAGCAGCACGTACATAGGCAGGGTCTCCACATATGTCTCGCTGTCCATCAACAATTCTCCTCCCAAATTTTGTAGCCAACTCTACTTTCTCCCTCATCCCATCCTTTAAAGCCTACAAAAAGCACAGAGTTTGATAGCAAACAATATATAAATATCACAAAAAATTCATATCTTAAACATAAATCCCCACAAGAACTGAAAGACAAAAAATAAACAAGCCAGAAAAAAGGGATTGACTAGCATCAAGAAGAGTAGCAAGGCAGTAAATACTTAAATTGTTTACCTTCTCCAGCAAATAGATTGACATCATTTTCTCTAATCAATGTAATAATCCAGGAAAAAAATGAAATCAAAACAAATAATAACGTATATAGTAGCTTCATCTTCCAACTCTAGGTACAACACTTAAAGAACAAAGTACAACACATCAGATAATTCTTCTACAAGCATGCGTGTGTGTGTTGGAATTTGAGAAATAGGTGAATGGTAAGGACCTTGCCGAGGAAGATTTCATTGGTGTAGGGTCCGTAGATGTCGGAGGTGTCAAGGAAGGTGATGCCGGAGTCGATCGCATGGTGAATGATCTTTATCATGTCGGGCTCAGGCTTCACAGGCCCGTAGACTGCGAACGTCATGGTCATGCATCCGAGTCCTTGCGCAGACACTTCCAGTCCCTGCGAACCCAGCTTGATCCTAGGCACTTTTACACCGCTTTCTGCTGCCATATATAGATAATTCTCTAGGTTTTTTTTGTGCAATTTCTCTATGTATGAGAATTGGTAATGAAGAGATGGAAGTAAGAGTCAAGTTTCAGTGTCGGCAGATGAGTGAGAAAATAGAAGATTTTGCAGGAAAACTCACGGGACACACACTGGTTCTCGCACAATTTTTATCCGGGAAATGATGTGTATACAATGTATTATACCTCCTCACATGGAGGGAGGGGACCCACACAATAAAATATTTGTGGATATCCCTCCATGTGAGGGAGGTGTGAAACATTGTGTACACCACAAGATATACACGTGGACTAATTCTTTTTTTAATACATGGTGGAGCCCACCCTGTGAGTTTCGGGTAAATCCCTGTTAAATGAATCTCGTACTTTAGGATTAATTGGAGAAGATAAGGGTGTTTGGCATGAATCTCGTACTTTAGGATTAAAAGTACTTTTAGAGAAAATTATATTGGACTAGCTGTCTCTAAAAAAATTTCTAACTTGAAAAAATGCTTTCACAAAATTAGTCCTTTTAAACTTAAAAAGCTCCTTTTTGACTTTTAAAAAATCATATCAAACGGATCCTGATTTATGGTGGAAAAGGCAAGAGTAACAATGGTTGGATGCTGTCTTAATCCCTCTCCTTTTTCTTCCAATTGAAACGTTAAGCAGATGTGACATGTGTTCGTCTTGTTTGAGCAAGCAAGAATTAAGGGGTGGGAAAAAAATTTGATACGCAAGTGAGATTCCGGCGTATTTTGTTGAATTATTTTTTGTTGGAATATATAATTTCTACACTTTCTTGGTATCAATAAATACATCAAATAATTAATTTTCAACTCTTTATATGTGAATAATTTTTTCAAAATATTTTTCACATTAGTTGTTGCAAGAATTAAAGTGAAATATAGTTGTTTTGGTACAATTAATTTTACCAGAATATAGTTTTGCCCTTTCAAAGTTAGAAAAATCGATTCATCAAAATGACAATTTACAAAACATACAATAAATGAATAATTCGTTAAAGGTTCAAGGAACATGATAATGGATGGTGAATCAAAATCAACATAAAATTTAAGTTTCCTTGAAGACTCACTTTAGCATGTTGTGGGGTGAAATTGAGACTTTGACAACACAACTAAAGACTCGTAGACAAGAAATGTTAGGCTCGTGATCAAATGCAAGTTGTAATGGTGAGTATTGTTATAAACAATTAACCTTGTACAAACTAATGATGTAGCATATAATATGACATGATTTCAAATAAAAGTTGAGAATTATGTTTTCATAAATAATGGTCTAACAATTAGTAGATGTCTAATTAACAACTCTGTTAAACCATTTTGTATATAAACATGAGCAATCAGATGTTCAATAAGTTGGAGATTTAACATTGAATTTGTAGTGGAAAGTCTAATAACTAACTTGTCTTATAAACAAATAGTACATATAAATTCATATGGTAAAAGAATCTTTTATTTTTTTAGAGGATGACCATATGAGTTGTTAATTATTCGGTGCATCATAATTGCTCCTAGGTGTCTAAGAGCCTGTTTGGTAAAAATTTTCATTTTCTACAGTAAATCAATTCTCATTTTCAACCACACATTCTTCAATAAAATAATATTTTCCATCACATCAATACTTTTTTCTTCTTTTTCAACCACACATTTCCCATCATATCACTATTCAAAAATCAATT